ACATCTCCAAGTAAAGGGGGATCGAAGAGGACTCCCTCTTGAGATGGTTCGTCGAATTGGATGACGCCATATGGGCGCGTCGCATCGACGATGGGGATATGCAAGTTGCATTTGCCCAGTCAAATCTGGCAGGACGTGCCAAGACTTGGGCACTGGGGCTCAAGCTGCACGACCCATATGCGTTTGGGTCGTTGGAAGTCTTCAGGTCGCGGCTCAGACAAACGTTTGAACCGCCTGGAGCTGAGTTCAGAGCTCGAACCGAACTCTTGAAGCTCAAACAAGGTAAGCGTGATGTGCACGCTTACGCTCAACATATACGACATCTCACGAGTTGTATAAGTTCCAATCCGGTGGATGAACACACGTTGGTTTCGGGTGTTCATGCAGGGTCTTGCGGATGGTCCCGTCAAGACTCACCTGTTCCGACTTGAACTAGATTCACTAGAACAAGCCATTTCCATTGCGGAGCAGGAAGACTTCAGTCTGAGACAGGCTCGCGCCAGCTCGACATCATATCGTCAACCGAGACGATATGATAGCGGAGGTCCAGAGCCGATGGACCTCTGTTATGTAGAGAGCGAGAAGGCTCGCTCTACAGGCTACAAGAACTTGCAGAGATGCAATAGATGTCAAAAGACAGGACACTACGCTTACGAGTGTAGTGCCCCTCGTCCAGTGTCTCGCAACACTGGGCGTAGTGACCGTCCACCCATGAGAAAGGGGCAGGGACGAGGGTCCGCAGTTGGTGCAAAGACGCAACAACGGGATGGACCGTCAAAAACGGACAGGGATCAGTAGGTGCGGAGCACCTCTACTGATCCAGCAACGTCAAGAGAATTTTTAGGGGCCTCTTGATGAAGGTTGCTCCCAACACACAGACGTTGTGCGTTGCTGCTCTAGGTAATGAGGTCTCACTCATTTACCTTGAAACTCGAAGTGACGAATAAGTTGTCCCTTCGAGCTCTAGTCGATAGTGGGGCGTCCAACAATTTTGTGCGACGCCAATCGCTAGAAGATGGTCACTTTAAATTCAGTGAATGTGACACACCTCCTACGAGGATGACGGTACGTCTTGCGACAGGCGCATCCGTAACAGTCATGAAGCGTATAGTGAAGATCCACTATACGCTAGAAGATACCCAATATGACGATGACTTTATCGTATTGGATTTGGATGACAAATTTGATGTCATCCTGGAATACCGTGGCTCAGAAGGTACGAACCACGGGTAAACTGGCAACATCGAACAGTAACGATGCCTGCGCGCTTGTTCATAAGATGGCCATCTGATGAACGTTTTGGAGCGTCCACAAGCGTGTGGATGTACTACGAGTGAGTGCGATGGCCTCACTTGTGGTACGGTCGTTAGTACGACTGCACAAAACCTTAGTGTACCAAACGGTTACACTTCGGAGCAAAGTTCCGGCGGCTGTGAGGAAACACAGGCTGCGCCGAAGGTCCACCACTCGAATAAGTCGAGTGGACCGGGACAAAGATGTATCCCTAGGGGGAACATCTAGAAGAGAAACAATCGATCGCTCAGGTTAAGCGAAACGATAATCCCTAGATCGACTGGAGAGTCTTTCGTAGAGGATCTCGCTGTGGTTGCGCAACCCCAGCTAGAGGAGGTAAAGGGAATAAGTCCCAAGATTACAAAATACGGCGGAAATAAGTTCCCCGAAACCCGCGGGAATAAGTCCCCGGGAAGACGAAGGAATAAGTCCTTCGAGGCCTGAGGGAATAAGTCCCCAGGAAACGACAGAGACATTGATTGTCATAGTCAATAACGGATCAAGTGTAGGCGCTTATACACTCGATCTGATTGCGCCTCCGAAGTTGACTTCGGAGATCACTCAGTTGCCAACTCTCGAACATAAAAGGTTCTTGCGTGATCTGCGTAGTGGCAAAGTCAAGCAGATCTGCGTACTCGTCGCTGACGACGAGTGTGTAACCGACATAAGGTCAGCAACAGTGTGTGTTCACTGAGAACGAGAGAGTTCTCAGTAGTTCATCTATGGACGAGAGTGTCCTAGATGAAAAGACACGAGTTGAGCGATATGACTCCCAATCGTGGGAATCGCTCAAGACAAATCCTCTCTATGAAGATTTGGTTGAATTCAAGAATGTATTCCCTGAAACTGTTCCGTGCCAATTACCGAAGGATAAAGGTATTCGACACGAGGTCGAGCTTAAACCAGGCTCGAAGTACTGTGTCATGAAGCAGTGGCCACTGCCCCGTGAACAAGTACTTGCGATCGACAAGTTCTTTGCCGATCGTTTAGCTTCGGGCCATGTGAGGGAATCAACTTCCCCACATAGCTCTCCGACCTTCTGTGTGCGAAAAGCAACAGGGGTGGTGGATAGTGCATGCATTTAACAAGTTGAATGCTGCAACGGTACCGGCTCAGACGCCGATACCAAGGAAGGACGTAATCATTGATGGTATGTCAAAGAGTACCATCTTCTCGTCCATGGATTTGATGGATGGCTTCTATCAAATCCTAATGCGAGAACGGGATTTACTCTATACCGCAGCTAGCACGCCTAGCGGCATGCTCTGGCTAGTAACGCCACAAGGGCTTAGTAATGCCCCTGCCACGTTCAACAGATGTGTATCACATCTGTTGAGACCAGTACGAGAATTCGCGCCGTGTTGTTTCGATGACGTCTTCATCCATAGTCGGGCTATGGATGGAAAGTCGGACGTTGAAGTTCACAGGTACCACTTCCGACAGGTTCTTACAATCATGCGAAAGCATCAATTGTATGCAAATCTCAAGAAGTGTATATTTGCAGCAAGCGAAATACCACTTCTTGGGTGCATCGTTGGTAAGAACGGTGTACGTCCTGATCCCGAAAAGATCAAGACGATCACCGACTGGCCTGTGCCAGTTGATGTCAAAGGTCTTCGAAAATTCCTTGGGCTAGCGGCGTATTTGCACAAGTATTCACGCAATTACGCCGAGATGACTATGCACCTCTCTCGTTTGTTGAAAAAGAACGAGAGGTGGTTATGGAACGCTGAATGTCAGCGCTCCTTTGATGGTATCAAGCAGAGCTTGCTACAATCCCCAGTCCTAGCAATAGCCGATCAGGACAGGCCATTTCATGTGGTCTGTGATGCCAGCGATTTCGCAATCGGCTGTGCATTAATGCAGTACGATCTTGAAGGCGTTGAACGCGTCGTCTGCTATCAGTCGCGTCAGCTGCAACCAGCTGAGCGGGAACTATCCAGTGCATGACAAGGAACTCCTTGCCATGAAGTATGCACTCGCGAAGTTCAGAGTCTATCATCAATAGGGAGATAGACCCTTCATTGTTTACACTGACCATGCGTCATTACGCACGGCAGTGAACAGCCCCCCCCCTTCACAACGAATGGCGCGGTGGTTTTCATTCTTTGCGGAATACAACTTTACGGTCGAGTACAAACCAGGACGACTTAATGTCGTCGCTGATGCACCCTCACGTCGTCCCGACTTTGAAACAGTCGCGAAACCCAACAGTGAGACAGTCACTGTTGCGGTTATGACGTCCGCAGTCCCATCTACAACGTTGTATGATGATGTGAGGCGGGCTTACGCCCAAGATGGTGAGATTGTGAAGTTGTTGACACATCTCTCCCAACCATCTCGAGAATCGTTGAAACGATTATGGCCTCGCGTATCGATCTGCATCAGATCGATACACTACTCGCAACGGTTTACTGTATTATACAGCCGTTTCTGGTGACACACCACGTGTTGTCATTCCAGATGATACTGATCTGCGTTTGCGGATCATGTTCGAGTATCAAGATGCTCCTCTAGGAGGACATCGTGGCCGGGAGAAAACATTTCTCACGGTGAGTCGAGACTTTTACTGGCCCCGCCAGTATCAGTTTGTGCGAAAGTATGTTCGCGCATGCGAAGTCCTGCCAACGAGTGAAGTCAAGTCCTTCACTGCGTGCACCTTTACAGCCTCTACCGGTTCCGGCTGAGTGCTGGGAATCCATCTCAATGGATTTTGTCTTCGGGTTACCCAAAGACGCAGCGCGGGAATACGGGTATTCTCGTATTTGTTGACAGATTCAGCAAAATGGTACACCTTGTGGCTGTACCAGAGACAATCACGGCAAGTGGCTGTGCTTGTGTCTTTATTGACACCATCTTCCGACTTCATGGGTTGCCCCGTGAACTCGTATCAGACAGAGATCCACGATTCACTGCTGATTTCTGGCGTTCCGTGTTCAAATCACTCGGAACGCGCTTGAAGATGTCAACATCTGATCATCCAGAGTCAGATGGTCAGACGGAACGTGCCAATCGTGTCCTTGAAGAGATACTTCGAGGATACGTACACCCTTTAAGAGTTGGAGTGAGTTTTTGCCTATGGTAGAGTTTGCCATCAACAACTCGGTGCATGCGTCCACGACGACATACACCGTTTTACGTGAATGGCTTGCGCCATCCGCGTGTACCCACCTTACTAGAGTGTAACTCTGGTTTAAGGGGGGGAGGGACTCGCGCGAGCAAAAACCGAATTGGTTCACGCTCATCACGCTCTGACGTAGAGGTCATTGCGTTTGATGCCGATATCGATAACATCGATATTGAAGAAGATGATGCCAGTGAGAGTGCGGAAGCCCTCACTGAAGAAAAGATTGATGTTGCTGCAGTGCACTCACAGCGCACTGAAGCTAACGAGTCATCAGATGAGTTCATACTGGCTCGTGAAACGGTAGTCCGTTTTGTGCAAGACTCCATCGCCGAAGCGGTGGATAAGCAAAAGCAAAACGCTGACAAGAATGGAAGGGCAAACACTCTTTTATTTAATAAAGGTGACTTAGTCCTACTGTCTACGGTTAATGTACCAAAGCATGTAGTGACTAACTTGGGTAGCAGTAAACTACTACCCAAGTACATCGGCCCATTTCGTGTATTGCACCGCCTAGGCAATGCATACACGATCGAGTTACCACGTAAGATGCGAACGCATCCCACGTTTTACGTTGGTCGGCTTAAGCCGTACCATCAGTACGCTGCTTCTTCCGATGAAGAACGCCCTTGCGCTCAAGCATCTCGCAGAGAGCCTTGTGCTCCCGATGGTGGGCATCAACAAGGGTCTGAGAGCAGCCATCTCATCCCGAGACCGATCAACAATCCCACGAGCTACACTTAGCTCGTCACGAAGAGATGTCAGAGATCTCTCGTTCTCAAGCTGAGCAAAGGCAAACTCAGCTCGATGCTTCAAGACAGTGTCCACCATCTGGAGACGCCTGTCCTGCTCATGCTCGAGATCGTCGCGTAACCCTTGCGTTACGCGATCAAAGAAGCTCTCGGGAACACACCGATCCACATGATCGTGTGGAGAGCGTCTTTCCTCCTCCTCCACCTCCATTAGAGGACTCTCGCGGTGGCCAGCGCTATCTAGTAGAGCAGCTGTTGAACCACCGCGACGTGAACGGACGTCGGACGAGTTATCTCGTCCGGTGGCGCGGCTATCCCCCGTCCTGGGATTCTTGGGAGCCCCGCTCCCAATTGATGGTTGACGTACTGGGTCTGGTCGAGCAGTACGACGCGACACATCCTGTGCCGCAGAAGGACCGCCGGAGAAAGTCTTCCCGGCACGGTCGTAAAGGGATTTCAGGTTGTCAATCCCCTTCGTACATCTCAGTAGAGACACGTACGCGCCACCACGGGCTGGTAAGGAGGTAAGCCTCCTTAGGTGCTCGTGCAGAGTTGTTCACACAACATGGGCACGAGTCTCCCCAAGAGAGGCAGGGTAATCCTTTCTCCCTTGACAGACGATGCAGCTTGTAGCGTGCACCTCTGGGGGTTCGCTTTTCAAACTTATAAAGAGTTTTGTTAGTTTTGTTGGTCCCCCGCCCCACGCCCTACTCCCTAAATAATAGGGGGGGGGGCTCCCCCCCCCGAAGGGAGGGGGGAGCCACCCTTTGGTTAGATTCCCACTGTACCATCGATGTCTGAAGAAAGCATCGATGAAGAAATTCATGTTCAGCGCGATAGTCTTTCGCGCTGGGGTCAAGGTGATGGATCCTTGACGAATCGAACAATCGTGTTCGATAACGATCACTCGTCGTCGCCGACAAGTGATCCATGACGGATTTTGGAGGCATCCATGCCTTCTTTTCTGGAGCGAGACGCAACACATTGCGGTCCCGCTCTTCCTGCGACGTGCCGACAGAAGTACTGGCACCTCGCTGTGAAGTGGTGTCCATTGGAGAACCGACACCACTATTAGCGCCCGAGTCTCGCGACCTCGAGCGCCTTCGCTTCGGCGATGGTTCATCTGATTCATCAGATGAACCGAAGATGCTGCGACGCAAAGCATCGTCCATGCCACGCTTGGCAGGCGGCTTAGATTCAATCGCCGTCGATACGGATCCGTCATCCGTATCAGGAGAGTACGAGACACCGAGCTCGTACTCTGTGAAGACACGAGTGTCTTCATGACCAGCGCCTGCGTCACCAAGTGACACAGGCTGGGTCTCTTCAGCAACCGATGGGACATCAGTTGCTGTTGTTTCTGCTTCGGCGTCCGCACAGAGACGTGCAGACGCGCTCTCGGCGGCCTTGCTCGCGCATCGCATGGGCTTGTCTACCATGCGATGAAATGTTGGAAAGTGGACGCGGACCAACAAGTGCAAACCCTGTCCCAAATGATTTGGGACGAGTATCCATTTAGTCAATCAGTCACTAAAGTGACTGATGGTTAGGGGGGGTGATGTAACGGGGTGAATCGTTACATAACAATTTATAAGAAATTGTTAATAGAATATAACTATAAGAGTTATATTCTCAGAATATTGTCATAAGGACAAATATTCTGTAGCACTTCCAAGTAGTTCCTAATTGGTTGATATAGGCCATTATATCAACCAACGAAGACGCGCCACGACAGACGCACGCAATGAGTGGTGAGCAGATAACTGATTTACACATTTGTATTTAGACATAGTTAGATGAAGATAAATAGTGATTTATTGCAGACATTAACTATTATAAATACAGTTCTACTTTTTACTCTAACCGAGTACTCGCTTCTTCTTGCCGTCTTCCTCTGCACGTACGAGTGTACGTGAAGTTACGAGGCACCGCCTTATTCTGTTATCAGAATAAGTAGCTTGTACTGTCACCAGTACAAGCTTCAGGGTGCCCCGTTACAATGGGCATCCATGCTGTTAGCGTCATGCTAGAGGCTCTCAATAGAGACGCCCAACATGCTACTATCGCCAAGTTCATCCAAAATGAACTTGACGCTGAACGCGAGAAAGTAGCCTTGCTTCACCAACAAGGTTCTCAACAAGCAGAGTTGTTGAGAGAACAAGGTGCTCAACAGTTTGAACTGTTGAGACAGCAGCAGGCTGCTGCTGGCGAGTCGATGCACTCGCGTCGGCCCGAGAATTTGAAGATTGACATCTCAAAGTATAGAGGGGTCGAAGAAGACTCCCTCTTGAGATGGTTCGTCGAATTGGATGACGCCATAAGGGCGCGTCGCATCGACGACGGGGATATGCAAGTTGCATTTGCCCAATCAAATCTGGCAGGACGTGCCAAGACTTGGGCACTGGGGCTCAAGTTGCACGACCCATATGCGTTTGGGTCGCTAGAAGTCTTCAAGTCGCGGCTCAGACAAACGTTTGAACCGCCTAGAGCTGAGTTCAGAGCTCAAACCGAACTCTTGAAGCTCAAGCAGGGTAAGCGTGATGTGCACGCTTACGATCAACATATACGACATCTCACGAGTTGTATAAGTTCCAATCCGGTGGATGAACACACGTTGGTTTCGGTGTTCATGCAGGGTCTTGCGGATGGTCCCGTCAAGACTCACCTGTTCCGGCTTGAACTAGATTCACTAGAACAAGCCATTTCCATTGCGGAGCAGGAAGACTTCAGTCTGAGACAGGCTCGCGCCAGCTCGACATCATATCGTCAACCGAGACGATATGACAACGGAGGTCCAGAACCGATGGACCTCTGTTATGTAGAGAGCGAGAAAGTTCGCTCTACAGGCTACAAGAAGTTGCAGAGATGCAACAGATGTCAGAAGACAGGACACTACGCTTACGAGTGTAGTGCCCCTCGTCCAGTGTCTCGCGACACTGGGCGTAGTGACCGTCCACCCATGAGAAAGGGGCAGGGACGAGGGTCCGCAGTTGGTGCAAAGACGCAACAACGGGATGGACCGTCAAAAAACGGACAGGATCAGTAGGTGCGGAGCACCCTACTGATCCAGCAACGTCAAGAGAATTTGTAGGCCTCTTGATGAAGGTTGCTCCCAACACACAGACGTTGTGCGTTGCTGCTCTAGGTAATGAGATCTCACTCATTACCTTGAAACTCGAAGTGACGAATAAGTTGTCCCTTCGAGCTCTAGTCGATTGTGGGGCGTCCAACAATTTTGTGCGACGCCAATCGCTAGAAGATGGTCACTTTAAATTCAGTGAATGTGACACACCTCCTACGAGGATGACGGTACGTCTTGCGACAGGCGCATCCGTAACCGTCATGAAGCGTATAGTGAAGATTCACTATACGCTAGAAGATACCCAATATGACGATGACTTTATCGTATTGGATTTGGATGACAAATTTGATGTCATCCTTGGAATACCGTGGCTCAGAAGGTACGAACCACGGGTAAACTGGCAACATCGGACAGTAACGATGCCTGCCGCTTGTTCATCAGATGGCCATCTGATGAACGTTTTGGAGCGTCCACAAGCGTGTGGATGTACTACGAGTGAGTGCGATGGCCTCACTTGTGGTACGGTCGTTAGTACGACTGCACAAAACCTTAGTGTACCAAACGGTTACACTTCGGAGCAAAGTTCCGGCGGCTGTGAGGAAACACAGGCTGCGCCGAAGGTCCACCACTCGAATAAGTCGGGTGGACTGGGACAAAGATGTATCCCTAGAGGGGAACATCTAGAAGAGAAACAATCGATCGCTCAGGTTAAGCGAAACGATAATCCTAGATCGACTGGAGAGTCTTTCGTAGAGGATCTCGCTGTGGTTGCGCAACCCCAGCTAGAGGAAGTAAAGGGAATAAGTCCCAAGATTACAATTACGGCGGAAATAAGTTCCCCGAAACCCGCGGGAATAAGGCCCCGGGAAGACGAAGGAATAAGTCCTTCGAGGCCTGAGGGAATAAGTCCCCAGGAAATGACAGAGACATTGAATGTCATAGTCAATAACGGATCATGTGTAGGCGCTTATACACTTGATCTGATTGCGCCTCCGAAGTTAACTTCGGAGATCACTCAGTTGCCAACGCTCGAACATAAAAGGTTCTTGCGTGATCTGCGTAGTGGCAAAGTCAAGCAGATCTGCATACTCGTCGCTGACGACGAGTGTGTAACCGACATAAGGTCAGCAACAGTGTTTACTGAGAACGAGAGAGTTCTCAGTAGTTCATCTATGGACGAGAGTGTCCTAGATGAAAAGACACGAATTGAGCGATATGAGTCCCAATCATGGGAATCGCTCAAGGAAAATCCTCTCTATGAGGATTTGGTTGAATTCAAGGATGTATTCCCTGAAACTGTTCCGTGCGAATTACCGAAGGATAAAGGTACTCGACACGAAGTCGAGCTTAAACCAGGCTCGAAGTACTGTGTCATGAAGCAGTGGCCACTGCCTCATGAACAAGTACTTGCGATCGACAAGTTCTTTGCCGATCGTTTAGCTGCGGGCCATGTGAGGGAATCAACTTCCCCACATAGCTCTCCGACCTTCTGTGTGTGAAAAGCAACAGGAGGCTGGCGGATAGTGCATGCATTTAACAAATTGAACGCTGCAACGGTACCGGCTCAGACGCCGATACCGAGGAAGGACGTAATCATTGATGGTATGTCAAAGAGTACCATCTTTTCGTCCATGGGTTTGATGGATGGCTTCTATCAAATCCTAATGCGAGATCGGGACGTACCCTATACCGCAGTTAGCACGCCTAGCGGCATGCTCTGGGAATGGCTAGTAACGCCACAAGGGCTTAGTAATGCCCCTGCCACGTTCAACAGATGTGTATCACATCTGTTGAGACCAGTACGAGAATTCGCGCCGTGTTGTTTCGATGACGTATTCATCCATAGTCAGGCTATGGATGGAAAGTCGGACGTTGAGGTTCACAGATACCACGTCCGACAGGTTCTTACAATCATGCGAAAGCATCAATTGCATGCAAATCTCAAGAAGTGTATATTTGCAGCAAGCGAAATACCACTTCTTGGGTGCATCGTTGGTAAGAACGGTGTACGTCCTGATCCCGAAAAGATCAAGGCGATCACCGACTGGCCTGTGCCGGTCGATGTCAAAGGTCTTCGAAAATTCCTTGGGCTAGCGGCGTATTTGCATAAGTATTCACGCAATTACGCCGAGATGACTGTGCACCTCTCTCGTTTGTTGAAAAAGAACGAGAGGTGGTTATGGAACGCTGAATGTCAACGCTCCTTTGAGGGTATCAAGCAGAGCTTGATACAATCCCCAGTCCTAGCAATAGCCGATCAGGACAGGCCATTTCATGTGGTCTGTGATGCCAGCGATTTTGCAATCGGCTGTGCATTAATACAGTACGATCTTGAAGGCGTTGAACGCGTCGTCTGCTATCAGTCGCGTCAGCTGCAACCAGCTGAGCGGAACTATCCAGTGCATGACAAGGAACTCCTTGCCATGAAGTATGCACTCGCGAAGTTCAGAGTCTATCTAATAGGAGATAGACCCTTCGTTGTTTACACTGACCATGCGTCCTTACGCACGGCAGTGAACAGCCCGCACCTTTCACAACGAATGGCGCGGTGGTTGTCATTCTTTGCAGAATACAACTTTACGGTCGAGTACAAACCAGGGCGACTTAATGTCGTCGCTGATGCACTCTCACGTCGTCCCGACTTTGAAACAGTCGCGAAACCCAACAGTGAGACAGTCACTGTTGCGGTTATGACGTCCTCAGTTCCATCTACAATTCTGTATGATGATGTGAGGCGGGCATACGCCCAAGATGGTGAGATAGTGAAGTTGTTGTCACATCTCTCCCAACCATCCCGAGAATCGTTGAAACGATTGTCGCCTGCGTATCGATCTGCATCAGATCGATACACTACTCGTAACGGTTTACTGTATTATACAGCCGTTTCTGGTGACACACCACGTGTTGTCATTCCAGATGATACTGATCTGCGTTTGCGGATCATGTTCGAGTATCACGATGCTCCTATAGAAGGACATCGTGGCCGAGAGAAAACATATCTCACGGTAAGTCGAGACTTTTACTGGCCCCGCCAGTATCAGTTTGTGCGAAAGTATGTTCGCGCATGCGAAGTCTGCCAACGAGTGAAGTCAAGTCCTTCACTGCGTGCACCTTTACAGCCTCTACCGGTTCCGGCTGAGTGCTGGGAATCCATCTCAATGGATTTCGTCTTCGGGTTACCCAAAGACGCACGCGGGAATACGGGTATTCTCGTATTTGTTGACAGATTCAGCAAAATGGTACACCTTGTGGCTGTACCAGAGTCAATCACGGCAAGTGGCTGTGCTTGTGTCTTTATTGACACCATCTTCCGACTTCATGGGCTGCCCCGTGAACTCGTATCAGACAGAGATCCACGATTCACTGCTGATTTCTGGCGTTCCGTGTTCAAATCACTCGGAACGCGCTTGAAGATGTCAACATCTGATCATCCAGAGTCAGATGGTCAGACGGAACGTGCCAATCGTGTCCTTGAAGAGATACTTCGAGGATACGTACACTCCTTTAAGAGTTGGAGTGAGTTTTTGCCAATGGTAGAGTTTGCCATCAACAACTCGGTGCATGCGTCCACGACACATACACCGTTTTACGTGAATGGCTTGCGCCATCCGCGTGTACCCACCTTACTAGAGTGTAACTCTGGTTTAAGGGGTGGAGGGACTCGCGCGAGCAAAAACCGATTTGGTTCACGCTCATCACGCTCTGACGAAGAAGTCATTGCGTTTGATGCCGATATCGATAACATCGATATCGAAGAATATGATGCCAGTGAGAGTGCGGAAGCCCTCACTGAAGACAATGATCCCAGCGAGAGTGCGGAAGCCCTCACTGAAGAAAAGGTTGTTGTTGCTGCAGTGCGCTCACAGCACACTGAAGCTAACGAGTCATCAGATGAGTTCATACTGGCTCGTGAAACGGTAGTCCGTTTTGTGCAAGACTCCATCGCCGAAGCGGTGGATAAGCAAAAGCAAAACACTGACAAGAATGGAAGGGCAAACACTCTTTTATTTAATAAAGGTGACTTAGTCCTACTGTCTACGGTTAATCTACCAAAGCATGTAGTGACTAACTTGGGTAGCAGTAAACTACTACCCAAGTACATTGGCCCATTTCGTGTATTGCACCGCCTAGGCAATGCATACACGATCGAGTTACCACGTAAGATGCGAACGCATCCCACGTTTTACGTTGGTCGGCTTAAGCCGTACCATCAGTACGCTGCTTCTTCCGATGAAGAACGCCCTTGCGCTCAAGCATCTCGCAGAGAGCCTTGTGCTCCCGATGGTGGGCATCAACAAGGGTCTGAAGAGCAGCTATCTGATCCCGAGACCGATCAACAATCCCACGAGCTACCCTTAGCTCGTCACGAAGAGATGTCAGAGATCTCTCGTTCTCAAGCTGAGCAAAGGCAAACTCAGCTCGGTGCTTCGAGGCAGTGTCCACCATCTGGAGACGCCTATTCCGCTCATGCTCGAGATCGTCGCGTAACCCTTGCGTTACGCGATCAAAGAAGCTCTCGGGAACACACCGATCCACATGATAGTTTGGAGAGCGTCTTTCCTCCTCCTCCACCTCCATTAGAGGACTCTCGCGGTGGCTAGCGCTATCTGATTGAGCAGCTGTTGAACCACCGCGACGTGAACGGACGTCGGACGAGTTATCTCGTCCGGTGGCGCGGGTATCCCCCGTCCTGGGATACTTGGGAGCCCCACTCCCAACTGATGATTGACGTACTGGGTCTGGTTGATCAGTACGACGCGGCACATCCTGTGCCGCAGAAGGACCGCCGGAGAAAGTCTTCCCGGCACGGTCGTAAAGGGATTTCAGGTTGTCAATCCCTTCGTACATCTCAGTAGAGACACGTACGCGCCACCACGGGCTAGTAAGGAGGTAAGCCTCCTTAGATGCTCGTGCAGAGTTGTTCACACAACATGGGCACGAGTCTCCCCAAGAGAGGCAGGGTAATCCTTTCTCCCTTGACAGACGATGCAGCTTGTAGCGTGCACCTGTGGGGGTTCGCTTTTCAAACTTATCACGAGCTTTGATAAGTTTGTCGTTCCAAGCGTCACGACCTACATCCTCGAGGTTATGGATGTAGGCGTTCCACGCCTGAAGTAGTGAGGGACCATCACGTTTGTGATTCCCACTGTACCATCGATGTCTGAAGAAAGCATCGATGAAGAAAATTCATGTTCAGCGCGATAGTCTTTCGCGCTGGGGTCAAGGTGATGGATCCTTGACGAATCGAACAATCGTGTTCGATAACGATCACTCGTCGTCGCCGACAAGTGATCCATGACGGATTTTGGAGGCATCCATGCCTTCTTTTCTGGAGCGAGACGCAACACATTGCGGTCCCGCTCTTCCTGCGACGTGCCGACAGAAGTACTGGCACCTCGCTGTGAAGTGGTGTCCATTGGAGAACCGACACCACTATTAGCGCCCGAGTCTCGCGACCTCGAGCGCCTTCGCTTCGGCGATGGTTCATCTGACTCATCAGATGAACCAAAGATGCTGCGACGCAAAGCATCGTCCATGCCACGCTTGGCAGGCGGCTTAGATTCAATCGCCGTCGATACGGATCCGTCATCCGTATCAGGAGAGTCTGGGACACCGAGCGTATACTCTGTGAAGACACGAGTGTCTTCATGACCAGCGCCTGCGTCACCAAGTGACACAGGCTGGGTCTCTTCAGCAACCGATGGGGCATCAGTTGCTGTGGTTTCTGCTTCGGCGTCCGCACAGAGACGTGCAGACGCGCTCTCGGCGGCCTTGCTCGCGCATCGCATGGGCTTGTTTACCATGCGATGAATTGTTGGAAAGTGGACGCGGACCAACAAGTGCAAACCCTGTCCCAAATGATTTGGGACGAGTATCCATTTAGTCAATCAGTCACTAAAGTGACTGATGGTTAAGGGGGGGGTGATGTAACGGGGTGAATCGTTACATAACAATTTATAAGAAATTGTTAATAGAATATAACTATAAGAGTTATATTCTCAGAATATTGTCATAAGGACAAATATTCTGTAGCACTTACAAGCAGTTCCTAATTGGTTGTATAGGCCATTATATCAACCAACGAAGACGCGCCACGACAGACGCACGCAATGAGTGGTGAGCAAAAAACTGATTTACACATTTGTATTTAGACATATTTGATGAAGATAAACAGTGATTTATTGCAGACATTAACTATACTGAATACAGTTCTACTTTTTACTCTAACCAAGTACTCGCTTCTTCTTACCGTCTTCCTCTGCACGTACTAGTGTACGTGAAGTTACGAGGCACCGCCTTATTCTGTTATCAGAATAAGTAGCTTGTACTGTCACCAGTACAAGCTCCAGGGTGCCCCGTTACAGTTAAGCTATGCAAGTGGTCTAGTGTGATCGTAACATTAGATGATGTAGTCAAACCTCTTCACGAGGCTTTTGAGCAATTGAGTTACCACCAATAGAAACTCTGTTTTCCCAAATATTGGATTGTCGCTGGGGGCGACCAAATCATCTTTACAAACCTTCACAATGCCTCGATGTATGCCTTGGAAGAAAGGTCGAATAATGCATGTAAATTCTGAATTTGGTCTATAGATAGTCAACCAAGAGCGTCAATTAAGTGCTTAAACCATATAAGCACTTAATTGACGCTCATGGAATCGGATGTTCAGTCAGGGGTGCAGACAGGGCGCTGAAGTCGCAGGAAACGCCGAAGACTAGACCGACCACCCCCGATGGGCCACTGACGCATCTGGGCTAGGCCTATCTTGATCACGTTCTAGGCAAGTTCACTTCGTGAGGACCAAAACATATGCTCGGCAACTCACCGGATGCCTGACTCTTTCGAGGTCTTCGCCGCTTGGCCGTTGTTGCCCGGAGGCGCAAATTGGGAAGTGCTGAATTCAATAAATACAAAATAGGTGACGCATTCATTCGTCACTCTCCTGGTTCCATAATAATAATTTGAGTAGAATGTTCTAGAAACTCGACGTCATACAGCATAAAAATAATAGAATGCGGTATGTGCGGGACACGCGGGATGGTAACGGCTCATACCAAATTCCATTACGGGTGGGATGGGACAGTGCGTGACGGAGCCCGAGTCTCGACTGTCTTTCCTGCAAGATATCAATGCACTTCGGTCAGATCAGCCGCGAGTAGTTGATACATGCTCGCAACAAAGTTAAAGTAGCTGATCACACATAGCGCATTGTACATAAAGGCGATGGATAATTTGCACACAGCACGCTTTGAGCTGTGTAATACAAAACAGAGTAGCTGGAAAAGAGCCAGCACGTGGGCCCGACTTTCAATCGCCTCATCGCTGGCCTCCTGTGAGGTTTGACTGGACGTGAGAGCCACCATTTCGCAGTTTTCCCGCCTTAACGCACCAACTCCTCCTATGCAAGTGTACATCTTCGACATCGCTTCCATCACCGCCATCCTTGCGTGCGCCAAGAGTACATCAGTCGTGTCAGAAGCTGTCGCTGACTTACGTCCGGTCCTGACTACCACAACAGACGACGACGCCCTCGCTGAGAGGAGGTCGGGGCCTGCCAAACTGGACAGCGGTGAAGAGAGGATGCATGGGCTTCCTGCGTCAGTTGTGGATGTGATTCCTGTGCCAATCGTGAACGCAGCCTTCAGGAAGATAAAACCGGTGCTACAAAGGCTGCATACTGACCCTCTTGAGAAACAGGAGAAGACTACAGTTACGGTGGCGCCTCAAAAAGCTGTTGCAGACTCTTCAAACAATGAAATCTCAAAGCAACTAGCTGGTCGCGGTGACAAAGATTGGGTGGACCGAGCTGCGAACCTGGTACAAACGAAGGGTCTGTCCGCTAAAGTGGATCCCTTATTCAGGTTCATGGACTCGGAGGCTAACAAGATATCTCCGGAGCAGATTCTCCGAGATCCGCAGCTCAAGCTCGATGCAGTGAAGATACTCGCAAGTTACTTCGAGCACTTGAACCATCCTCTAAGAGATAAAAGATCTTTGCTGGCGTATCATAGAAAGGCGCGAGGCAACGAACAGCCGGACGATGTTATGAAGAAACTGATGGATGAGATCAAAGCATTGGAGAAGAAGGACATTGAAGCACTGTTTCAGCTGCTACAGGAGAGATACGGGCGTCCGGAGTTGCAATCCTTCCTGTCCAAAAGTACTTTTGGTAAACAAGGCGGTAAATTGGTTGAGGATCTGCTGGCGCGATTCTGGCCGACTGACATATCAACAATTCCGAGACCTCAGGCGATGCCGGAACGTGAACGTACGATGCTACGAAAGGAGGATGAAGACCAGCCTGTTAAGCACCCGAAGGAGATTGAAGATGGGTACAAACGGGAAACACAGTCCAGGTACAAGGCAAAATCTTCAAGGAAGTATCGAGCTTGAGCTGTTCGTTCCCAGCGCACTAGGTGCCGGTTAAAGTTGAAAGGCCGCTGGTATGTAGACGCGTGTTTAGTGTGAGGGAGGACAATATAGGTGAGTCTGTTTCTGTTTGACCAAGAAGCCTGCGTTTAGTTGATTGAGAATGCCATGCACGCTATCGCTGTGACTAATCTTTTCGCCACATTACTGATGACAGCGATGGTAAACAGCGTTATCTCATGATCTACTGGTGAGGGCGTCACGACCACGGCGCAGCTATGAAAGAGTGAGATAATACTTCTATGGATTCAGTTTGTTCAATTCAGATTGTTCAAACCATTTTTAACGTGTTTGTCGCGTCGATATTTGGTATGCTCATGGAGCCAATCTGCCACGTTCAGACAATCTGCGTTCTCCTACAAACAAGATACTTTGCATTGTGGCGATCAACATAAATTATCACTTGTTGTCATAGGCTCCCGTGATCTTTGTGGTCCATATAGTAGCTGTCGCTGTTGTCTTGTACGTTCGCAAGCACTAAAAAACTGACCGATGGAGATCCCCGTTGTGGTACACTAACTTAGTTGTGAGTGATGTGAACCGCCACTCTCGACCATGATATCATTTGAGGTTTTGAAATCTTTCTATCGTGCAGACAGTCAAATTGAAGTCAACGCGTACAGCTGTGTTGACAGCAGGCAGGCCCCCGCTCAGCATCGCAATTGTTCTATTTCGCATTATCAGATAGCGGTACCTAGAATTATTAACTTTAACATGTAGCCGCACGTACGACTACTCCTACGGACATCTTTCACCCCGATGGCTGCAATCATCACAGCTGCCTAAAAAAATTTTCCCTGATAGCTGGAGTGCTCGCTATGTGCTCACCGTATACTTTTCAGCTGCATGTCAAGAAATTAAGCTGTAGTTACAACAAAGGTAGCTACTTGCGGAAGACAGGTGAGCCAAGTCATGCAAGTACATGCCGACCGAACAAAGTTCTCTGCACTCACCATTGTTGCCGTACTTTAGATGTTGTGCGTCCCAGGTGATGACATTAATTGACATAGGACCTGTTAGATGTTGGTAGCTCTTGCACTTGTGCAAAGGATGTAGGAAGTAAAAGTGAAATATAGTGGGAGCGAACTATTCTCCCTAGTCAAACCTATTTGTATGTATTTGCACCAGCACTGCAACTTGACCTGGTCAAGTTGTACTTTGGCATACGTCCAGAGTGCCCATCCCATGTGCTGGTCCTGGTCCCATATGACGTCTGTATGTCTCTCTCTCTCCTACCATCTGTCTTTGATAGTCCGACATGACGATCGTCTTCTCGCGTCCCATATGTCAACCTGTCTCGTCCCACCGTCAACTTGTCGACCAATCAGGTGAGGTCGACCTAAACATGTAACAGGTCTTGCAGTTGCTTCTACACCGACGTAACCTGTTAGAAGCTATATCTTCGAACACTCCTCCTCGACTTCAGCCTGAATCGTCCTCAAGCTGAACATCTTGCGTAGCTCCTCCATTCTCGGCGCTGGCAAGGACTTCGTCAAAATGTCCGCCATCATGCTCTCAGTCTTGACGTACTTGGGCACCACAATTCCTTCACGCGCGTAGTGGCACATGAATTTAAACCTGATGTCCACGTGCTTCGCGCTCGTTGTGCTCTTCTCTGCCTCGAGTTGCTTGATCGCCGCTTGATTATCCATCCACATAGGCATCGGCATGCATACTTGCAGCTTTAGCTCCAGCAGTAGTTCCCTCACACCCAGCCGTTCGCGTCCTGCCTGGGATGAGGATATGAACTCCGCCTCCATAGTGCTCAGCGACACACCTGACTGCTTCTTTCACGACCATAAAACAACAGAACCGTCCAAAGTTAGTACGTAACCAGACACTGACTTACGGTCCACCTTGTCCGCGGCGAAGTCTGCATCGCTCCAGCACTCAATCTTGACATTTTGTTGAGTCGGTCCGTTGCCGTTCAGGTGCAACCTCAAGTTCTTTGTCGCCTTCAAGTATCTTGCAATGCGTTTCGCAATCTTCCAGTCCTTGGTGGTTGGCTTGTGTGTTTGACGAGTTGCCTTATGCACTGCAAAACATATTTCGGGCCGCGTGCATCTAGCGATCCATAGCAGACTCCCGACCAAGGATTGAAAGACACTCAGACTTGGCTCACCGCTTGCACCTCTCGCGGGCAGATAGTCCACATCATCCTTGTTATCATCATTGCAGTCATCTCCGATTGGCATTCGCACACCGTTCGCTGACTCCAACTTGAAATCTCTGAGCAACACGTCGATCATGACCTCTTGGTCCAGAATGTATCCGCGAGTGTCATCCAAAGAGATCCTGAGTCCCAGAAACTTCTGAACGACGCCGAGATCCTTGATCGACGTTGTCTCCATGCCCGCAAAGAACTCATCAACCGCGCACTGCTTGGTTCCCGTGACCAGAAGATCGTCCACGTATACTCCGACGATGGTCCATTCTTGACCTTGGTGCTTGTACTATAGACACATGTCCGTCGTGCACTGCTTGTAGCCATTCTCGGTCAGCTTGGAGTGTAAGAGCTTGCTCCAGAGTCGTCCCGCTTGCTTTAGCCCGTAAAACGATTTCTTCTACAGCAGCGCGACCTCACCAGGAGATTACACACCAAAACCTTGAAGTTCCTCCTTAGTGATTTGCATGCCTTTTGGAACCTTCATGAAGATTATCAGATGCTCCTCCTTTTCTGCCTTAACTTAGGCGTTCGGAACATCCATATGACGTGCGGGAAAGTTCCATCGCTTGGAGAGCACCAGGATTAGCTTGACGGTCACTAAGTCCATGACGGCCGCAAACGTGAGGTTGTAGTCGATGCCGAAGACTTGTTCGTTTCCGCAAACCACTAGTCGAGCCTTGTATCGCTCGACATCTCCGTTCGCGTCGGTCTTTGTTTTGAAGACCCACTTGTTGTGCAACACGTGTGCATTTCTTGGTGGCACTACGATCTTTCAGACGTCGTTCGCCTCGAGTGCGTCCAATTCTTCGGTCATGGCTACCTGCCATTTGTCGCGTTGTCCACTCTTCATTGCCTCACCATAGTGCTTCGGGTCTTGCTCGACGATCACGTTCACGATGTCGCAACCGTCCACCGAGGTGTCCACTTCAACCACCTTTGGTAGACTTGACGTTGTCGAGCTTGTCCCATGTCGCTCTCTGGTCCATGTCGACTTTCGACCTTTTCTGACCTGCTTCGCACGTTTCACACCATCTTGCCAATCTTCTTCATCCGCCTGATGATCAGGGCCTGGCTCCTCCTGACGTCGTGCCGTGTCTGGACATATCTTTCTCTCATCCTGGTCATCCTGTGGTGCTTCAATGTTTTGAACATGTTCAGTCACCACGACCACCTTATCCACTGGGATGTACACCTTGTATCCCTTCGTTTCGCTGCCTCGCCCAATGACGATGCCCGCCTTGCCTCGTTCACCGATTGACTTGTTCTTCGGGTCTCTGTGCGCAGTGCATGTTGAACAAAAGGCCACAATGTCTGTCAGCACGGGAGCCTTGCCTGTCAGGATCTCCAAGGGCGATGCAAATCCGGGGTTGGACTTGGTTTTGCTTCGATTCAGTATGTACGAGGCGTACTCTGCAGCATCACCCCAAAATGAGAGCGGCAGGTTTATTGAAAGATCATACTCCGCACCATGTTCATGACGGTGCGGTGCATCCGTTCAGCCTTGCCGTTGCTTGCTTGGTTTTTCGCGTCGCTTACTTGACGCAAGACGCCTTCCGAAGAGCAGAAAATATCGAGTGTCTTGTATTCGCCACATCCATCGGTGCGTAAGACATGAACCTTGCAATTGAACTCGCGCTCGAAGTTTGCCATGAAGAGCTTGAACTTTCACGCGGCTGCATCCTTCGACTTGGCCAAAAAAATTCGACAGTAACTCGAACGGTGGTCGATGAAGTTGACCATGTACCGATTTCCCAAACGATCTCGGGGGGTCATGGGACCCTTAAGGTCCGAACAATTGACTCCCCCGATCGCGTCGATTGGCGAACTCGCGCCTGTATCTCTCTTCGACTGGGCTCCCTTGGTCTTTTTTCCCTGGGCACAGGCCAGACACTTTTGACGTGTCGAATCAGTCAGTCGGATGCATGATGCCGGATCGCTCGCTATCTTGACGATGGTGGCAAAACAAAGGTGTCCTAAACGTCGATGAAAGTCCATCAAGGTACCGCATAGAACATCCGAATCGGATTCATATTCAGGTGGGTAGGCGACAGTCATCAGTGCCTCTTGTGGTGGCTTGGAATTACGATCACTGTGATTTGTCACCGCGACAACCAACACGTTGTTGCAGCATTCCACATCCATAATGGGTGTACCGCCCGTCCTGGAAGCCAACACGCGCCTCCCTCCGCGATATTCAAGTACACAACCTTTTGCCTCGAGCAATCCGTAGGAAAGGATGTTTCGCTCGAGGTTTTCCGCATACTAAACATTGAGGAGCCTCCCTGTGTTCACGACTCCAAGTGCAACGACTTAGATGTCTACAGCTCCTTGTAGGGTGATCCGCAGCGCACTTCCATCAGTGGCTGCAGTCATGCACTCACTGCGACAATCAATCGGATCAGTCAGCAGACTCGGTTTATTGACCAAATGTCTACTCGAACCGCTGTCGAGAATCCATTGTCCGGGCGAGCGACTCGCACCGTGACCAACCGCGAAAACGAAATTCGCACCCGAGGGCTTCTTCTTCATTTTGGGGCACCTCGAACGAATGTGACCCACTTCTCCACATTTGAAACAAGTCCGGGTGTCGGTGCGTGGTAGCGACGGTCTTGATTTGTGTTTATCCTTGAACTCCTGCGCAACCTCGATAGTGTTCACCACATCGCGTCCAAAACTCTTCGAGTGAGTGTCCACCTCCGTCGATTGGGCAAATTGCGCCATCTCTTCTGCTTGCCGCAGGTAATCGGTGCGATGAATGTCCAATCTGGACAACATCGTCGTTCGCATGTGTGGGTCAGCATAATGGACGATGTTGTCCAGCACAAGGTTGTCTGCACCTCCACAGGCGTCACTGACGGCCGTCAAGTACAGAATATGGTCTTTACAGTTTCGATGGGATTCCTTGGGTGCTGTGAACAACTTCGTGCTTTGTGCTGGCGAGATCTTCGTCGTGAAGGTCTGCAGTAGTCTCTGCATCGCATGTTCCAGGGTTTGGTTTTGAAACCACCACGTTTCCACTTGACGACGATTGTAGGTCTGTGCCTTGCCGGCTAGGTGCTGACCTAGAACATCAACCTTGATGTCCTCTGGCCACACGAAACCACACGCTCGCTCAGCAAACCCAACTTGTCTGACAAATTCTTTGCCCCACTCCATGAATCCACAGCCAAGGCCGTGGTAGAGCTCCTTTCCGTCGAAAGGTTGCAATGCCAGCTTCCGCTGTTGCGCGTCCGGCATGCCGAGTCCCGGCTGCCCAGGGTAAACACACACACCGTTAGGCATACCCATACCGGGGTAGCGTCCTTCAGGCAAACCTGCCCGGTATATCCCAGGGACGGGTGCCTGACCCATGTTGACTCCTTCCTCTGCTTTTCTCGCGTGAGGACCTTCAACACCTGCCTGTTGTTGTCGCCGAATACCGAAATAGGTTGCTGGTGACACGTTTGGGGATTCCTTAGGATGGGTACGGTCCAAAGTCTAAAGACCAATCCCTGCCCCGACCTCCTGTTGCCGACTGGCGATACTCGACTCGGGTGAGCCCTGCCAGTTCTTGCCGCCTTGCTCTCTCTGGGAGACCTCCATCCGGTTCATCCTTTCGGACAGGTCTCCTAGCATGGCTAGCAACTTCTCGATCGCCTCCGCAGACGCTGCCGACTTTTCTTCCAGGTGATGGTCGTCGACCACCACGGTATGTGCAGCTGGTTCAGCCGCACCACCAACACGTTTGATTGGGCTTATAACCTGTTAGATGTTGGTAGCTCTTGCACTTGTGCAAAGGACGTAGGAAGTAAAAGTGAAATATAGTGGGTGCGAACTATTCTCCCTAGTCAACCCTATTTGTATGTATTTGCACCAGCACTGCAACTTGACCTGGTCAAGTTGTACTTTGGCATACGTCCAGCGTGCCCATCCCATGTGCTGGTCCTGGTCCCATATGACGTCTGGATGTCTCTGTCTCTCCTACCATCTGTCTTTGATAGTCCAACATGACGATCGTCTTCTCGCGTCCCATATGTCAACCTGTCTCGTCCCACCGTCAACTTGTCGACCAATCAGGTGAGGTCGACCTAAACCTGTAACAGGTCTTGCAGTTGCTTCTACACCGACGTAACCTGTTAAAAGCTATATCTTCTAACAGGACCGATATCTTCGCCGATAAAATCTAGCCACGACAGAAGCACGCAATGAGTGGTGAGCAGATAGATACAAAACATATTTGTATCTATAGATATGAAATGAAGTCAAACAGGTATTTATTGACAAGAATTTAATTATACTGAATACAAATCCTACTTTTTCCTTTACTAAGTACTCTTACTCTGTGTAGCAATCTTCCTCTGCACGTACGTGTACGTGAGGTAGTCGGACGCTCGCGCCTGTACACTGTCAGCAGTGCAAATTTCATTAAATCAGCTATATGAGGTGTGCCCCGTTAAACCTGGTAGCACTTCTTGGTCTGTCCAATGACCATTAAGATGTTAGACGATTGGGAAGAAAATTAATATCCCACATGACAGCTGCTCCCATTTGAGTCAAATCGAATGGGATGCCGCCAAACAATTGAGTTCGACGATGGAGCAAAATTCCGTCGGAGAGATTTTATCCGCCCAAGGGCCAGATGGACAGCACGCCACCATTGCCAAATTCGTTCAAATTGAACTTGGCGTCGAACGGAAAAAATTTATAGTTGCTGCACCAACAAGGTTCCTTGCAGACAGAGCTGTTAAGAAAACATAGTGCTCAACAGTTCGTACTATTAAAACAGCTGCAGGCCACTGCTACTGAATAGACGTGTGCACGTCGACCCGAAGACTTATAGTTTGATGTTTCAAAGTAAAAGAGAGCCGATGAAGACTCTCTAGTTATAAAGTTCGTGAAACTAGAAGATGCCTGGAAGGATAGCCACATCGTTTATGATCAAATGCAGATCGTATTTGCTCAATCGAACTCGTCAGGGAGTGCAAAGACGTGGGCTTTAGGCCTAAAACTACGCAACCCACATGTCTGTGGGCCGTTTAAAGTCTTCAAATCCATGCTTAGGCAAACTTTTGAGCTGCCGCGAGCAGAGTCCAGGGCTTGCTCTGAACGTTTGAGAATCAAACAAGGTAAAAGTGACGTGCACTCGTTTGTACCGTACATGCGTCACCTTACTGATTGCGTAATAGATGATCCACTGAACAAACGAATGTTGATGATGTTGTTCATACAGGGTTTACTGATGGTCCCGTTATAACCTAGTTTACGGTTAAAATTAAGCACCCTGTAAAATGCTATATGAGTTGCAAAACAGAAAGACTTCAGCGTGAAACAGGATAACGCGAATTTATTTCCTATCGTCCATCAAGACGACAGGAAATTGGAGGCCCTAAACTAATTAACCTTTGTCACGTGGAGATCGAGAGCTCTCGTGGTAACAACAACAAGAAATTTCAAACGTGGAAGAGATGTCAGAAGACAGGGCATTATGTTTACGGTTGCAGTGCCCCGAACACGGTACCACGTACCGCAGGAAACAATAACCGCCATGTGTTGTCCAAGGCATGGGTCCGACGTTGTTGCGTCCTCGCAACAACGTACTGGACAGCCATAAAATGTTTATTGTCAGTAGTAGCGGAGCAATCTACTGATCCAGCAACGTCAAATGAGTTTGCAGGCCTCTTGACGAAAGTTGCTTTTAACATTCATTGATTGTGTGTTCTACTTCTGATAATGAGGATTCCCTTTTGAATTGAAACTCGAAGCGACACAAAACACGTCTCTTCGAGCTCTTGTCAATATTGGGGGAGCAGAAAGACTTTGTACAACTTTTATCGCTAGATAAACAGAGAGCTTGAATGTGTCGATCACGATATCCCTCCAACGATGATGAGGGTGCGCCTCGCGACAGGCGTATCCGTAACAGTGATAGAACGTGTAATGGGTGTTTCCTTTACACAGAAGGGAGTCCAATACAATGATGGCTTGATTATACTGGAATGATGACATATTTGATGATAACCTTAAACTGCCGTGGCATAAAAGATTAGAGCCACAATTCAGCGGGTTTTGACGAGCAGTCGATGTGCTCGTCGCTTTTTTATCAGATGAACATCTGGTGAACGTCATGGTGCACTTACTAATACGTGGGTGTTCTACAAGCGACTGCAATGGGTTCGCGTCTGCGGTTAGGTCGTTAGTTCAACTGCACATGGCCATCGCGTGGCTGATCACCACAGCATGGAGCTATATTCTGGCGTATGCATTGTGACTGGGGTCGCGCCGAAGGCTTATTGCCCATTTCATTCGAGTAAACTGGGGCGTAATTTCTCCAAAACGTTATTACCGAAGTGACAGCAAAGCGATTGACAATGATTAGCAGTACGATAATCTTAGTAAGATTGGAGAATTGCACGTAGAAGACCTGGCCTTAATTGAACAACTAGCGCCAGATGAAATGAGGAAGAAAACCTATTCGTCATTATTTAAAAATTATCCTGATAGGCAAGTGAGGGTATAAGTTCCTACCTGGCTGTGGAAATGTGTTTCCTAAGATTAAAGAGGAATTAGCTGTCATGGATAATGACAGATCAAGTATAAATTGTAACTAACAAGAACGTATGGCGCCTCGTATGGCAACTTCGGAGCTCCCTCCCTTGTCCAAGCTAAAACAGAAGAGATTTTTGCGTGATCTGCGTAGTGTCAAAGTCAAGCAGATCTGCGTACTCGTCGCGAAAGGCGAGTATGTGAGCGATATTCAGGCGGAAAAGGTATTTGCAGGGATCAAATGGGTTCTCAGCAGCTCATTCATGGACGAGAGTGTCCTTGATGATATGGCTCGTGTTTAGCGATAAACATCTTAATGGGGGATTAGCTCAAAACAATTTCTTTCAACGATATTTTATGGAATTTGGAGAAGTGATCCAAAAAAAATTGCCAAGCGAGTTACTTAAGGAAAAGATTACTCGCTATGAGATCATCCTGAAGCCCGGTATATAGTGCTGTGTTATCAAGGAGTGGCCACTGCCTTATGAGCGGATGCTAGCGATTAAAAAGATTTTTGTCTTAACGCTTATAAGCCGGCCATGCCACGTTATTCACGTTTCGAAATTCCTCTACTACCTTTAATGTACAAAATGGAACAGGAGGATGACAAATAGTACATGCCTTTTACAACTTGAAAGCTGTAACCGTACCGGCTAAAACGCCGATACCAGGAATGATTGTCATTTTAGAGATTTTAAAAAGAGTAAAATGTTTTATTGGATGGATCTGATGGACGGATTCTAACAGATTCTTATGCGAGAATGAGACTTTCTAACACCGAGGTGAGCACTCCAAGCGGTGTACTTTGGGTAAAGTTAGTGATGCCACAGAGAACGAGTAACGCTCTGCTACATTCAGCATATGCGCGACGATTTTTTTAAGATCTGTGAAAGATTCAAAATAGCCATTTTGATTACGTGTTCCGATATGGCCAGGCCATGGATGGACAGATGAATGAGGAAGTCCACCAAATCTACGTCTAAAAGGTTGTTACACTGATGCATAAGCATAGGTCGTGCGCCAACCTCAAGAAGTGTATACTTTTTGCCAGCAAGATACCACAATTTTGCTTGCATTATGGATAGGCCCGGCCATCGGCCAGATCTGGAAAAAATCAAGGCGATCACTGACTGTCCGGTGCCTACTGACGTAAAAGTAATTCGAAATCTCTTCAATTTAGCAACGTTTTTGAACAGATACTCGCACAATTGCGCCGAGTCGACTGTCCATTTCTTTCTTTTTTCAAACTAAAGCTAGAAGTCAGCTTGATGTGCTGATTGCCAGATCATCTTTGCAGGTAGCAAGCAAAGCTATCTATAAATGCCGGTTTGAAAATTTGTAGACCAAGACAGAGCACTTCATGTGGTATGCGATGGAAGTGATTCAACCATCGTAGGGTCACTCATGCAGCATGACGTACACGGTGCTGAGAGTTTCGTCTGCTATCAGTCATGTCACCTGCCACCGACTAAACGTAAGTACCCGGTAAATTTCAATGAATTCCTTGCCATTTAGTATGCTTCGGCGAAGTTTAGGGTCAACCTGCTACGGGCAAGACCCTTCAACTTTCATGATGACCTTACGTTCTTATGCACGACTGTTAACAGTCTACACCTTACGCAATTAGTAACAAGGTGACTGTCGTTTTCCGTGGATAATTAATTCTAGCAAAAAAGGTGCAGTACGAATGAATGTCGTCCCTTATGCCATGTTGCGCCGTCACAATTTTGAACTGGATCTGCAATCCTTCATAGGTCCGACGTCTGTCGCGGTGCTGACGACGAGTATCCCGTCTTTAACCTAATTTAGAGATTTACACAAGGCGTACATTCCGGCGATGGCACGATTAATGGACCATCTCTCGCAACCATCCCGTTAATCTCTTAAAGGGTTGTCACCAGAATTTAGATCCTCAACGTATTTATACACAATCCACTTAATTTTAATGAAGCATTTAGCCGTTGCTGGCGCCACGCCTCGTGTCATCGTACCAGAACATGGTGAACTGCGACCGCGCATCATGTATGATTACCACGATGCACATACTGGTGGAAATAACGGTCGAGAAAAGACAACTTATAGACACAATCGCT